TGAGGACGTAATTTTCTGAGCCCACAAGTATTGCAAACTTCTTTGGTATGTCCTTACCACAAACTACCTTCCCAGTAAATATGAGTGTCACTTTTGTACGACCAAAACTAATGCCAACATCTCCTTCTCATAGGTAAACAACAACAAGTTCCTCCATTGCAAAGGTTGACTATAAAAGGCAATTGTTCGTTCCTGCATCAATACATCTCTTATCCCCAATCCACTAGCATCACATTCAACAATAAACTTCTTGGAGAAGTCCGAAAGAGCTACAACGAGGGCCTTAGTCATGGCTTCCTTCAATTTTTGGAATGCTTCCTCAGCTGCCTGGGTCCACTTGTACGAATCTTTTTTGAGCATGTGAGTGAGTGGCCCAGTTATTTTGCCATAATTTTGAATGAACTTTCGGTAGTAGCCCGTTAAACCAAGAAAACCTCTCATAGCTTTGGGGTTTTTTGGCTTAGGCTAACTCAACATCGCAAAGATCTTGTCAAGATCAACTGCTACTCCTGCATTAGAAATTATATGACCGAGGTAGTGAACCTCACTTTGGCCAAACTGACATTTCTCCTTCTTGACAAACAACTTGTTAAACAGCAAGGTAGACAATGCAATTTTTAAATGCTTGAAATGCTCTTCCATGATGCACTATATATGAAGATGTCATCAAAAAATACTAAGATGAATTTCCTCAAGTAATTTTGGAAATTCATTAAGGACTGGAAGGTTGTTGGTGCACTGGTAAGTCCGAATCGCATTACAAGGAATTCATAATGGCCATGATGCGTCCGAAATGCCGTTTTCTCCGTGTCTTCCGGCACCACTCGAATTTGATGATATCCATAATGCAAATCCAACTTCGAAAATATTGGTGCTCCGTTTAGCTCGTCCAGTAACTCATCAATTACTGGAATTGGGAACTGATTCTTGATAGTGACCTTATTAACGGCACGGTAATCTATGTACATACGCCACGACCCATCGTGCTTCTTAACTAGTATTACAGGCGATGAATAAGGGTTGTTGCTGGGGCGGATTACCCCCGAAATAAGCATTTCGGCCACCAACTTCTCAATATCCACTTTCTGGTAATGTGCGTGGCGATAAGCCTTGGTACACATCGGTTTGCTTCTCGCCTTCAATGGAATCCTATGATCATGTGATCGCAGAGGTGGTAGTACTTTGGGCTCCTTAAACACGTCCTAGAATTCTTCCAAAATACGTTGCATTGGGGTAGGTTGATTTTCACCATTAGTCGTAGGAAGTGGAGTTCCAACTTAATATAAGTGTAGCAACATCCCCTTCTTAAACCACCTTGAAGGTCATCAATAAGCTTGCAAAGTCCCACATAATGGGGCCAATTGTTCTTAGCCATCGGGCACCCAAGATAATTTCAAGCCTTCCAACGAAAGTAAATAAAAATCTATGTTAATTGGGACACCTTGCAAAATTAATTTAACGTCTGAGCACTTACCGGGGTTAGGAAGTTTCTCCCCAGAACGGCTACCACTGGTTCTAGTTGGTTGCAGACCACTGGTTGGTTGCAGACCCACCTTTTTTTTGCAAGAGTTTTGCTCATAAAATTCTGAGTGCTTCCCGAATCTATCAAAACCATGACAACATGTCCTAAGCTGCCTTTCATAGGCATGGTTTTGGGAGCTCGTATCCCGCAGATTGCATGCAAAGAGATCTCTTGTAGATCACAAAACTATTCTGGAACATCTTCCTCTAGGCTTGGTTTATCGTAGTCATCTTCCTCTTCATGGCAGTCCTCGATCAAGAACAATTTCTTATGACGATATCCAAGTACAAACTTCTCATTACAGTTACAACACAAGCCCTTAGCTCGCCTCTCTTGCATCTCTGCCAGTGACAATCGTCGAACTGGAAGTACATAGCCATTGTTGATTGTCTTCTTGCTGGTTGTAGGAGTTTTCTTCACGTCGATCGATACGTCAGCTCGCCATTCAGAGAAGTTGCGGGCTTCATAAAGGCGGGTTAACCCAATAGCACTAGAGAAGGTCGTAGGACGCCCTGCCAAAACGTCTGCTTTGATGTTGTCCTTCAACCAATTGATGAAGTGGCTACCTTGGCGATCGGGTGAGAGATACCCCACCTTAGTTAAAAGCTTCTCAAATTGTGTTTGGTAGTATCGAACGTTCCTAGCTTGTTGCAACTTAGTCAACACTCTAAAGAAGTCTTGGAGTTGAGTGGGTCCATACCTGGTATGCACCTCATCACAAAACTTTTGCTAAGACATTTCACCTACTTCTTGTTTGAAGATTTGGTACCACAATTGGGCGTCACCCTCCAGATGGAAGGATGCAAGAGCCACACGCTTTTTTTCTGGTGTTTGATGGAACTGAACAAACTGTTCCACCCTGCAAGTCCAACTCATCATGACCTCGTTGCCATTAAAGCGAGGAAAGTCGAGCTTAACAAGCTTTGGAACGAATGACTGTTGCATTCCGTGTTGAAGGTTTCCATTGGTGTGCCAAGATCGTTCACCATGGTTCGGGACTGGAGCTCTGGAGTTCTCTCATTTCTCAGGTTCGGTAGTACCGGAATATGAACTAAGCTTTTCGAACAACTCGTTAAACTTGTCCATGATCTACTGTTGGCCAACGTTGAGAGAGCTCACCTCACCTTCCAACTTCTCCACTCGCTAATCCATGCCTTTGCTCTGATACCACAATGATACGTACTGAGGTGAAACCTTCTTGTTCTTGGACGTACCTATGGTGTTGACCACAGAAGAAGTTGTAAAGCGAAGAAAACAAAAGAGCAAGTTTAATTGAGGAAACCTGATATCGTTAACACACAGGTATTGCTGGTTCAAAAAGCATCCCTCTCAGCTAGATTTCCATTCATTAAATAACATAACCCATGTACAAGATATGAGCAAAAAAATCAGCTCCCATTAACAAACTAACAACCCACAAGATAGCATAACCCATGTTACAAGATATGAGCCAAAAATCAGGTCCCACTAACAAACTAACAACCCACTAAATCAGCTCTTACTAACAACTAACAACCCACAAAAGACTCCTAACATTTACTCTATATGTATCCATGCGAGCCTTATTCATCACACATAACAACAGAAATAACATGTACCAAACCCTCCAATCGAGCACCTTGATTTCGAGATGCATTAAAAAAAACATCAAATTTTTAAAAGGCAGATCCTGAAAAACCTTTCAATTGATCACCTTGATCTATAGATGCATGAATATAAAAAACAAAGGAAGAAGAAGAAGAAAGATTTCAACTCTTAAAAAAACTCATCTTGTAACACTTTATTTGGACCCTCTACTTTCAAGAATCTCAAGTGCTCATAGATATGTTTCATTTGCCCTATTTTTGGAGCAATAAATTTCATAAATAGAGGAGAAAACATATTTTCAAGCCATTGTAAGAGTTCATCGCGTTGCAATTGCATCTTCTAGTAGAGTTTGAAAGTGCACCTTACTTTGATTATTTGAAGTAGAGGCTTTATATCACCCTTCAAAAAATATACATTATATATTTATATTTATTTTAAAAGGAAAAAATTTATATGGAGCCGAGGCTCCAAACAATAAAATTAGAGCCCACCTCAAAAATTTCACTAGAAAAGGTTGTGTTGATGCCCAAATATCCTCAAATTGATCATCTTAACATCAAGATGCATGGACATGAAAAAAAAATAGATTTCAACTTTTGAAAACAATGCATCTTGTAGTGCATTTTAGACTGTCAATTTTCAAGATTTTCAAGTTTTCATAGATCTGCTCAATCTACATTATTTTTTAAGCTTTAAATTTTATAATTAAAGATGAAAATATATTTTAAAGCAATTACAAAGATTTTTAGTATTGAAACCACATTTCTCGATGCTATTTGAAGGTGTGTTTTACTTTGATTGTTTAGAGCCTCAGCTCTATATTAACTGCACCCATTTTAAAAAGTGGGGTTGTATGCTGTAAGACCAATCACTTTTAATACAAGGAGGTCACAATCAATAAAATATGAAATCCAATAGCTTGGGTGTATACACAGTTTGAAGAATTTTATTTTGAGTTTTGGTCCAAATCAATCACATACACCCAGCCACCAAATTTCACATCTAATGATTAATATTTATTAGTTGGCCTCCTTGTGCAAAAAAAAACAAACAGTCGTAATGTTTAGTACCAATAAACTTTAAAATTTTCCTATGCTTTTTTTGTAGGGAAACTATCATAAAAACCCTCTATTATTTTTTAAATTTAAAGTAGTCCCATATATTTTGTAGTGAATATAGTATATAGATGCTCAAATTTGGGGCATACATCTTGCTACCATTCACTTGTAAAAAAATTAAAATTCATAACTGATGTAAATAAATGATCAAGGTACCTCTATAAATTTTAAAATTATAGGGCGTATTTTAGTTATTTTAATTGTCTTAATTATTTTAAATACATTTTTTAGTATTTTTTAACGAATGTGAGACGGTGAAGAGTAGTAACTCCCCAAACTTGAGCAAAATCTGGTTACTATAAAAAATAGAATTAACCGTAAAATATAATTGGAAAGACCGCATTTCTACATATGCGGTCCAGAAAGTATAAAGCATGCATCTTAAAAATGGATGCAAGCAGGTGTTCCATCTAAAAACAATGAAATCTAACGGGTCCAAATGGTTTCTTACTAGAAATATTATTTTTTGTTTTTAAAATTTATTTATGTTTCATATTCACGATATCAAAAATAGATTTATTAAGAGGCCCACATTTCTACGCATGCTAGCTTGGCCGCATACAAGCCGGGTCTAATATAAAATATATAAGACTATTTCTAAATTTTTAAAAATGAGAATTTTTCAGTTAATTTCGCTTTTTACGAGTAAAAACATGCAAATCCCTTCGTACTGGATAACATTGATTAATCGGTCATTTTCAGTTGGGAAATTTCCCAGTTGGTTTATTTATTTATTTATGGGTGCTCTCTCTTTCTTATCCTGTGAGTACTGACTGCCTCAGGATATAAATTGATTATTTCCTTCTCTTCCACCATATTAGTATCCCTCTCTCTCTCTCTCCAATACAAAAATGGCTGCTCCCCATAAATCCATCTTCCTTGTCTCCATAACCATCTCTCTCTACCTCATGACATCAGCAAAAGGCCCCAATAGAAACTCAGACCCAGTCCCAACCCCATGGCCTGATCAATTCCACTCAATCCTCTTCACGAACTATTCAGGCTCTCTCTCCCTCATTGATCTCTGGTATGACTGGCCCAATGGCAGAAATTTCAACATAATCCAAGACCAATTGGGCAAGCTTTTGTATGATTTGGAATGGAACAATGGGACCTCTTTCTTCTATACTCTGGATTCGAAGAGGGAGTGCAGAAGTGCAGAGGTGGGTGTTGGGATTTTGAGGAAGGATTGGTTGGATGGTGCTCAGTATTTGGGGAGAGAGATGGTTGATGGGTTTTTATGCAATGTGTGGAAAAAGGTGGATTTCATATGGTATTATGAGGATGTGGAGACAAACAGGCCTGTCCATTGGGTTTTCTACACAGGTTTGGTTTCTCTGTCTTCTTCAGAGCTTTTGCATTCTTTGCGTCCTATAAATCCTTTGCTTTTTGTTCACTGGATTTACTTTTGTGTCTTGACTCTAGAGAGAGAGAGGGTAGGCAGCAGAACGCCACCAGTTTCAAGAATTAATCAGACTAGAAAACACCACCTGTTTGAAGAATTGCGATGATTACTAAAAACTGAGAGCTCATCTTCTTACTTGATTCAGATCATTGAATCTCTCTCTCTCTCTGACCATTATAAAACTCTCTTTTAGCTCTCTCAGTGATCCGGTTAAGCCCGGTTTTGGTGGTCAAGTTCCCAAGTTGGAATAAAAATTTACATAAAGTTATTAAAAATTTTGAAAAATAAAATATTATTTTTAATGTGTTCTTACATATTTTCTATTATTTTGGCCGAGATTGGAAAGTATTTTAGTCATAAATACTTTTTTTTACTTTTTTTTTTTTAGATTATTTTTAAAATACCCCTGTCAGAAATTAAATTTTACTCCTTTTTCATTTAGATATGTTTTGTTTACTTTTACTTTAAATATATTTTTTGAGATTTTTAATATCTTTTATTTTTTAAATACCTTTTTCTCCCCAGCAAATACCTGCCATACTCAAAAGCCAGTTACTTGAGTAAGCCAGTTATTTGGACTCCGACGGGTTCCAAGTTACCTGGACCTGCCCATGGCTCGGGTGGTGCCTACAGTGGCGCTCTATTTATTTGACTATAAACGGATCCTGTTTTTAGGTAGATAAAGGGGATTACGGGCTCCTATCTAATTTAAAAATAATTAGTGTATTCTAAAAATGGGGTTGAGGTCGTGATGGTAACACCACCTCAATCTTAGCTATCGGTTTAGATTTCCATTCCTACCAATGCTGTCAAAACCTACAAACAATTTAGGGCTCTATGTTCCCCACTGAACTACCCATAGTAGATTTTGATAGGGAATAGAAACTTGGATCCGTAGCTTAAGCTTAAGTGATGCTAACACTACGACCTCAACCCCATTACCAAAAACTATCAGACAATCCGTAGCTCAAGCTTAAGTGATGTTAACACTACGACCTCAACCCCGTAACAAAAACTATCGGACTCTTATGGCAGGTTACTACAAAATTGTGTAGAAGTTGTAATTATGGACCAAACATGTGCTACTGTGGAGAGAGAGAGACTTGACTATTATTCCCTCGAATTAGGGCAAGTGAACATGTATTAACAAGATGAAATTGCAGGTAGGTCAGCGCATGTGATGACATTTGAGGTAGGGGCAGTTTTGGAGGACGAAAAATGGCAAAGCACCCGTTTATTGTTTCCAAGGAGCCAAAAACAAAGAAGAGGAGGGGACTAAGCCAAACACTTCCCTACAAAACGATGCTGCAATCCCCAATCTCACACCCCACACATTGATGCAACGCAGGCCTGTTCATGCGGGTCCACTGGCCTTCTTTTGATTCTGTACCTCACCTCAATTCAATAATCTAGAGAGACAGATTGCGTGTATCTGCACACCACGACTCTCCTATGCATTTAGCCATAAGAATAAAAGGTGAAGTTTGTACGAGGCGCCCACCTTATACTATAAAAATAAGGCGTACCTTTAAACTTTGATTGGATATATAGTTTAGGGTCGCTTAAAAATCTATTTTCAGATAAAATTTTAAAAATCATACAAATCAAGCAAATCTATAAATAAAAATCTTGAAAATAGACTTAACATGTTACAAGTATGGGTGCCAATGGTACAAGTATGGGTGCCAATGGTCCCGGCCTGGCTGAGAATTTAGGCCTAGTACAGGCTTTCGACCGGCTAACGAAAGACAGCCTTTTATCAGGGGTGGGTCGGGTTTTTAACTGGCCAGCCGAAAATAGCCTAAAAAATCCATAACCTTTCTTTGCCCTCTCTCTCCCCCGGGAGGGCTTCTCTCTCTCTCTCTTTCACCCATCCACCATCTCTCTCTTCCATTCGTGGTCCCTCTCGCTCTAAGATGGTTTCAGCAGTTGGAGATTTCCTACGTAAACTCCATTGATGATTGAAATCTTGCTCAAAAACTCATGCTCAGATGCTGCAAGCGCCTATCAAGGAGATGATTTTCCAGTTCAATACCTAAATTGGGTCTTCTCCCTTTTAAATTGTTCGGAGAGAGCGATAAGCTGAAGCAAATTCCCTGCAAAACTTCGATCGTCTAAAGAAAACCCCCAATTGCTTCGATCTCTGCGGATTGATGGCTTTGGGTGAAGGGAGCTTAAATTTGGGGTTTGATTTGGGCTCTTTGATTTGATCCATATAGCAAGAGAAATTGCACAATGAGGTTCAATTGAAAATTCTAAAAAATTGGTTTTTTAGAGAGAATGTATTTTGAAAAGGAGAAAGAGAGGGCAGTGGTATGAGAAAACAGGTTTTTAGAGTGAGTTTTTAGAGGGGATGGGGGAATGAGGTGGTAAGTGACCACAGTGTACTCACCCCTCTTCCCAATATTTTTTTATTTCCCAATGCTTTTTGAGGGGTTTTTATATTTTTAAAAAAATATTTTAGCATATAATTTTTTTTATTTGGCTTATTACAAACAAGAAAAGTTTGAAGAGAAATTTTAAAAAAATAAAAAACTTCTAAAATTCGGCAAGGCCAAGCATTTGTTGGGACCAAGCCCAGCCCAATAGATTCTTTTGGGCCGGGCCAGGCTTTAACATGATATATTCAAGCAGGATCCGGCCAGGCTCTTCGACCATAATTTCCGGGCCAGGGCAAAATAGTTTTCGGGCTTTTGTAGCTCTAGTTACAATAGATTATTTTGCAGCTCTAGTTACAAGATACAATATAGGACTCAAATTTATTTATTTACTTATTTATTTATATTTGTATATCTCAAGATCGACATGGTGGGTTTTCCAATGTTAGAACCCTCTTCGAGAGGATTTTTGAGGTGCATCTTACTTCAGGTTGACCACTTAACACATTTTCTTAGGAATACATGGCATATTGTAGACGCTTAGAGAAAGGCTCTCCTTAATGTTGCCCATGGACAATTTTAAAGAGATGCCAAGCCAGATGAAATATTTTATACATTCTTCTGATATCCCAATATTCACATTATACAACAAAAGAATGATACATGAGCGCCATCAATGGCTACCACATATCCCTTCTGGTAATTACTGTAACGTGAACACGAGAGAGAGAAAGACAGAGACAGAAACCTGCAACTCCAAACTGATTATGAAGCACCTTGTGAAGCCTTCAAAACGATTTCTTCTGTGGTGGTTCCAATGATCTCATTCGCACGCTTCAATCCAACACCGTAGATTCTTCCCACGGAATCCTGAAACCCATAGGTGCTCTCCTTCAGTTAAAAATAACTTTAATACTTTTTGGGTGTCCAACCAAGTTTATTAAATTTTAACCAAGTTCCAAACTTAAAAATGATACTCTTGTATACTGAAACCAAAATATCATTTACCAACTACAATATATAAGATTAAAAAGAAAGTATAACCAAGGTTAGATTTTTAAGTGATTCTGGGTTGTTTTTCGGAGAGAAATTCTAAAAAACCAAAACATGCCCCAGGTTATGTATTCTGGTCGAATTTGGGTCAATTTTCTAACTGAATCACGATAAAAAGGGTGCAGCACCAAAACAAACAAGCAAAAATCACATTTCTAACATAACTCATATATAGAATGCTCACCCGAGCCACAATACCAAGTTTCTCCAGCTTCTGAACTGCATCGACCACATCGAAGTCGCACTTTTCACCAAACTCTGAGTCCATTAGCTCTTCACATCTTTGATCAAGATCCTGAAAAAGTGGTAATCAAAACACGGCAACTTGTCCAAAGAAAGAGAGGAAATAATATAAGAGAACCCATTATTGTTAGGGGTAACATATTACTTCGATTGTAGCTTTACCCTGCTCCATTAGAATAAAGAATGATATGATCACCTCTTTGACCTGCAGATGCAACAGCATCAGATGCCACCGAATGTTCTTAACAACCTTTTTCCCTTTGTTAATCCCCACGTCTTCAATCTCTCTCTCTCT